AGTGGGTGAAGCTGATTTTGAGTGAGTTCACTAAGGCAAACCCGTGGCGTGACGGCTTTGAGGTGCGAAATTTCATGGACGATCACAGCCTTTGTTAAATCTCTCCTTACCGCAGTTGAAATAATACTGCTAATATGCCGTCAAGTCACTCCGTTGTGCGTGCTGTCAGTGGCGTTTGGAAATACCACTCTCTTGTTTGTGCAAGCGAGCTTCGATTTGAAATTCGATTCCACAACACACCATTTTGACATGACAGAAAGGCATGCGAAAGGGTGTACGCTCCCTAGTGCATTGACATCTAGTGTGGGTGTGTTTGTCTATAATTTGAGTGTGTTTTTGGGGGAAATGAAATGAGAAGAGAGAGGGAGGAGGTGGAAATGTATGGTGGGTCTGAAGGATCTGTAAGCCGTGCATCATGACCAATGTAAGCACTGTTGTGTAAGTTGTCGTTTGTTGCCTGGTGATGCACTTTACAGTCGTGGAAATGTGGGTTCGAATGGAGCATTGGAAAACTGAAGTTTTGTATTGGAGTTGAAGCAGGAGACCTGCTTTGTGAATTGGTGCACAAATGGGTGCGGTGCATGGTGAAGATGTAGCTGAATTGCAATTAGCATGAACTGCAAATCAGATGTCGTTCGGACCTCGAATGTGCTGAAAAGTGGAAGCGTCGTGTCTGATAAGACGTGCGTTGAGTAGCAGTCGAGGCATTCATATACCAGTTTGAAATGCGCTGCGACTAGTCCTTTTTTCGAAGTTGTTTAACGTTACCCCAACGGTAGACTTCATATACACTAATCGTCACGGTGGATGCAAAAAATATTTTAAAATAGGTTTGTACAACAGGGGGTGAATGAAGGTGAAGGATCACGTGAAGCGGTAGGTAGCGGTATTGACGTTTGTTAATGGATCGTCGATGGCATACGCCATAAGCAAGCTTTGATGATACCAGGCATTTCAGTGTCTCATTCAACACATCACGTGATAGGACATGCATTGAGATGTCAACCCATCAAAAACAGCCATGGTCAGTTTTGGTTAACTTCAAGGGTTGCCCTGCGAAGCATAGTTTAATCATTTCCTTCAAGTTTAAATGTAAAAAATTCTTTAATTCGAATACATATAAGAAAACCGTTAGATATAACCTTCCACATCAGCTTCTATATTGTTGTTCTTTTCAACCACTGAGTGATTTAAGAATCGAATCACTAAATTAACCTGACTTGTAACCTTATTTTTCGTCGAACATTATCAAGCATGTTTTAGCATGTCAGCAGAGATGACACTTTAACTTCCTTGAATCGCTTGGTTAAATAATCGTCACTTTGCTTGCATTAGAGAAGAAATCTGCTTGCACCCTCATCTGATTGTATTAGACAAAGGATGACCAGTTTGATGGATGACAAATTTATAGCGTAAGGACACCTCCAATAGAAGCTTAAAACAATTGTCAGCTATGTGCTTTGGTAAATAACTCGAAGATAACTATAACTGAAATCTGTGGCAATTTCATAGGGGCCTTATAATTTCAATGTACATAATTTGGCATTTATTATGCTCATTGAACGATTAAAACCATTTCTAGATGGCAGAACCATTTGTTCAAGCGTTCCAGCTTACCGTATCGCAATGTCACCATGACTACACACATGGGTTGTGTGTTGTGGAGAATAACACACTTACCACTACTGCTTCCGAAACGGCCAAATCAGCAAGATTCACTTCACATAGAGGTGCAGTCGCCACTTCTGCAGTCGCTTCCCTCTTCTCTGTTTTCTCCTGAATTTCTTGGGCTTTTGATAGCTCGATAGTGTGGACTTCCTTTTCTATTTGGCCAAGCCAGTCTGCAAGAACCTCGGCCTCTTCCTCAAAGTGACGCCAGTGCAGCAGGGCGTTTTGCAGCTGAGCGTAGTGCGTGTGAACCCATTCGACCAAGCGACTCCAACGAGTCGCCAGTGCGGCAATACGGTCCTCCAAGTCCGCGTCCCGCGCGTCCGGTGTCTCGGAGGGGACCAGAATGACGATGTCCTGCATGCGCTGCGCCAGGCCCTCGCTGGCTTCGATGCACGTTTCTAGGCGTCGATTGGCACTTAGTTGTGACTTCAGCTCTTGAATACTGCACCCAAATCGCTCTGTTTCCTGTCGGTCTCTGTTGTTAAAACAATGTCGGGAAAAGTGGTTTTTCATGTAGTAATTTATGTGCCTGTTTGTAGCTTAAGTGAAAGATTCCTCAAAAGAAGAATTATGCAGTGTGGGTATGCGGGTCGTTCTAGAGAACATTTTACGAGGAGAAGACTGCGCATCTTGCATGGTGCCCTAATAAAAGGCGCCCCTTTCTGTGCCTTCAAAATGCACAAATTTCAAGCTGTGAGGGGTTGAGATTACATGAAAATAAATTTGCATGGTCATTTAAGTTAGCCAGTTTACTTTAAGATAACCAAGCATGTGCCGGCTGAATTCAACCTAAGTGTTTTATCTTCGGTTGAAGCAGCGTTTTAAGATGAATAACCTAGCTTTTTATCTAGAACATGAGAAGTGACCACATCTATGGTCATGGCAGAAAGCTAAAGAAGACCCATTACTTATTTCAGAGTATCGCAGTAAATTTTAAATTTGATTTCAAGAGCCGAATTACCTGGCATGCATTTTAGCCTAAAGACCTGGGATTATTATAATGATGCGCTACTTGCTTTTTTAAGTAATTATTTTTGCTTTCTCAACCGACTCTGCTGAACTAAAGTGAAAACTAATCTAAACTAATCTGCACCAGCCCTCACTTTTCCCACTCAAGCTTTCCAAGCTGTATCTCCACGGCTCGTAACAAGGCTTCCTGTCTTTTTAATAGGCAATTTGCAAGAAACTGATTGCCCATCTCAGTTGCTTTACTGAGATTCGTCCACCGAGCATGGAGAACGCTGGCCATCAGTAACACCTCAGAAGACTGGACAGACCGAAGGTGTTCCATCGGGGACCTCTCATTGTTAAATTCATCAACACTGGTAGAAGAGCGACTCGTGGCAGACATCCGTTGAACCCTTTCCACGAGGTTTACAAGTCGGTGGCCGTAACGTAGGCAACGACTCACGGTTGCCTGATGTTTAGCTAGGTGAGCAGTGAGATCCTGTCAATGAAGAATTGTACATGATATAACCTTTAGGGGGTAATAATACCAAGTCGTATCTACAACCTAGAGGAACGAGGTTCTACTGCTGTTACTTTTATCTATAATTTTCGCTAAAAAGTGGCAGTGCCGCTGTAACTAGTAGAGCATTAATGTACTTTTGCCTTGAAACTTCCGGATGATCAGTATTTTATATGTCAGGTGGAACTGCACCTCTACTAATGATTTCATGGCAAAACACGAGTTTGAAATGTTTAGTGTGAAAAGTTTAATTTAAACGGCTTTAAAACAATTATATGGATTTAAAACCAGCGTTTTGGCTATGAACTAACCCGTCCTTGAGTTCGACAATTTGATTTCTGTCAGCAACTGACATAGTGACTTCCGTTCAACGAAATGAATGTCTGCGCCCTGTTATATAAAGTGGCAAGTTTCTTAATGCTGCGATGAATTGGTTGAGCCTTGCCATGTCTATGTTTTTCTCTCATTTTCCAGATCGAGTCGTGTCTACGTGGATCGCCCGCTGTGGTACTGTTTGAAAACCATATCGAGGCCCCTGCAAGCGTCCGTGGATTCTGATGGTGGATTTAAAGAGCGCCAGCAGAGATAATTGCTTTAGTGATAAAATATTAACTACTTAGGCCATTCATCGCGCATTGTAAACATTAATCTCAACTTCTCTTTATCATTTTTCTCAAATTTTTTCCTAGAAACATTAAGGTTCATGTTACTTAATTACCATTATTTAATACGTCGAACTACTTCTTTTCAATAAGGCCATTAAATCTTTGCCATCCTCTCAGAGAACAGTGTTTTGCTGCTGAGTTCCAGCCACCGGTAAGCGTTTTGCGGGTGTTGGGGATCCACGATTCCCCAAGATGGGTTTCTGATTTTATTTACATTAATTTATTAACATTTGTTTTATTGCGCTTTTATCAAGTCAAGGTCAACCTTGACTTGAGATAGCTTTCAAATTACTTTCGATTTCACTACTTCTCCGCACGTGGCTGACGTGAATACAGCTCTCCGCTTGAGCGCTGGTCTTGTTATGGTATTAGCCTGGGAAGGTCGGTTCTAGCTTTCAGCAAGGGATCGGGCACCGTTATTTGAGTGGACTTCTCTATTATTACGGGCAAACGTAACAGCGGGGTACATTGGAGCTTGACACAGCAGAGATGTGAATTTACGAACCACGCAGATTGTGCACTCAACTAAAATTGGCACTAGCATGCAAAAGGGAGCGTTAGTTGATGGCTTACTTCATGAGTGTTGAACTGTTTCCTAGCGGCCTCCAACCGAGTGAGAAATCCCTCAGCCAAAGAGGAAACGTCAAGGATTTGTGAATTTTCTAAGGCAGTAATGTCCCTTGCTTCTTGAATCGCAGTCTTATCTTCAAAGACGATATTTTCTTCGCCCTTCTTGTCTCCAAAAAAGGGCTGCAGATCCTGAAAGTTGTTTCCCAATCTTTCTTCCATGGAGAGCATCCACGCAAGATTTCGTTCAACACTGTGCTGAAAATCGGCCAGCGTAAGTTGAGAATCTTCAAGTTGGTTGATGTTCTCAGGTTCACTTGCGTCTTCGGAACAGAAAGTTAATTCTGAGGCCGTGGGAGAGGAGCTTCGAGAGGAGGTTGTTGTAACGGTGACTGTAACGCCAGGGTCAAGCTCCAGATTGGGACCTACTTGTAGCAGGTTCTCCTGCAATAAAAAAATAAAATCTGACAAAAAGGCCAGAAGGGCACTGGGCGATTTGATCCAAATGCCACCATAATTTGTGCGAAAATGCTTAACAGTCGCTGCTTTAATATACCGGTCATAGTGATGCATTGAATCAGTTACTGTAAACATATTTCTATCCACCTTATATTAAGTGACAACACCATAGATTTACCAAAATGCCAATTACAAGTAAATTTGATTTTTGTGATAGCCGGAGGCACCAAGTCATAAATTCATGATGAGGTTTTGGCAGCATTAACTCAACGTGCCTTGTAAATTGGTATGGTGAAAGTTTTTCACCCGTTGTTTTGAGGCGTCTGTGCACAATACGGTGTATACAAAGTCGACTTTTGTGAAAAGAAGTGACAAATGATCTCTCTTAGTCATTAATCTGAAACACCGAACATTCATAATAATTAAAGCACAATACAAACATAAGGTTCAGCTGTTGTTATATGTTCCTATAGTTGTGTATTAGAACTAAATTCAGAACTTAGTTTACATACTTATTTGGCATATACGTTCAAAGATTTTTTTCTCTTTCGGGGGTACCGCATCATTATAAAGCGAGCTAGGGACTTTGGTTTTGACTTCGTCTGCGAATGGGTCCAACGCTGGTTTCGGTATGAATCAAGCAAATGGAGTGTCTGTGCCAACTGACGCCTTTTGTTAACTGAAATGCTTAAAGACAAAATAAAACTTGTCGGATCGACGAATTAAATAGTGTCTATTAAAACACACCATTGCAGCTGTGCAGATTTCAAAACTCGGTCTGTTTCTCCGCTTTCTGTCATTTTCAACAGCTGAGCGAAGTTCAGTTAGGTAAATGGCGACGGATCGTGCGTCGATGGCGTCGAGGGAGCAGAGATCCTCAGTTTCCAGAAGACGGGGCACCGCAAATTCCTTTGTGATGAGGTGAAATGCTAGTCCTAAGTTTTGCAATGGCGATTTTTCCAGGCGCGCCTTGTAGTTAAACAGATCTGGTCTGTTACAAGGTAATACACTGGTAAGATAATGCAGATGATTCTTAACAAAAAGAGTGGAATTTGTTCCTAATGCGTGTCAAAAAAAGATATTTTGTGAAATCTCTCAAAGGTTTGCTGGCATCCCCTAGATTTGGGTTTTACTGAGGCTCACATTGTAGGTTGCTTTAAAATTATCTACTTCAGTAAGTTCGCAGCCATTAACTGTTTGGAAGCGTTTGGCGTACGTAAGATTTATGCAAAGATTATTTTCTTTTTGATTACTTTAAGTGTCTCAAGCAGCCTATAACTGATTCTACTGAAGCAGGTATCTTTAACATGTGATGTGTTTTGAGATAAATAGTCGGTTCAGTGGATACGGCAGTGGTTAAAATCGTGAATTTTGCAACTTACCTTTGCTGATTGACTATAGCCAGAAATGCAAGTCCATCACGCCATGACGTTGTGTAATTGCAAACGTTTATTCCTTCATATCTACAATATTTTGATAGAAATCACACATTTACAGTGAAAAGTTGAAACCATCGGAAGTTTGCAAAAACAGCCTTTATTAAGATGTTCATTGGCAGCCTCATGCAGTGATCATAATGACATACATAGTTCATAAAATCGTTCATCTTCAATGAAAATTTTTTGCATAACCGGTTATTGTTTTCAAAGAGGAATTTGGACAAATGTAATTATAGTCCAACCTACGAGCCAGTTACGTCCTGACACCAAGCTAATAGGCGCTCGTCCTGCCTTGCGAGCCATCGATCGAGAGCAGGTGTTCTTGTGTAACTCTGCTCAACTTCAGGCAAGACACTGCTCACACTGCTACGTTTACTTCTCTGACCGATTAGCGTGGACGTAGAGGAGTCCACGGAACCGCTGAAAGTGCCGCCTGTTTGAACTTCCTCCACAGGTCCAGTGCCGGCTCCAGCTGCAACAGCGAGCATCCAGAGGACGTCTAGGCAAAGGGTGAGCTGGGCAGGTGGAAGCAAGGAGGCATCGTCTGTGTGATGAAAGCAGTCACATGCCAGCTGGACGGCAACCGCGATGTCGTGCTAAAGGTCATTCAATAAGAGCCTCGTGGTATAATTTCACTTGGCGATGAATTTCGCTCACAAATGAAGTCCTGCCGCAAAGGCTCACAACATGGTGACATATGATAAATGTGCATGGTTGAATGCGCATTGATAAGATTTTCATTTTTTTTTCAGTAATCCTTCTTGGCAGCGCCTAAGTATAGCTGTAACATGAGGTGAAACATGGGGGTATCTTAATAGGTTTCTTCAGAAGGGGAACAAAATTTTCAATAATGCAAAAGCCCATAACCGGCTCGACAATTTAGGCGCTGCAATCTGTATGAACAGTGGCATACTTCTAAATGAATGACAAAGAAAAGTAGGTGTTTTTGATAGTGTCCAGAGCATTAGACAAACTACTACCTGTATGGAATCATATACTCCGTTGCTAATACCAAAGCGATTGGTGAAAATTGGTTAACTAAATTTAGTTTACAAAGAGCTATTCAATTTTCTGTGATTAGTAATCTCAGTCTTTGAAAGAAGGAGTACACTTCATTCAGAAAACTAAAATCCTTTCATCTATGTGTTGGTTTTGCAGTAATTTTGCCTACCTGGAATCTGAATTCAAACATAAAAGCACAAGAATTTATTTATTTTATTGCCACGTGGAATCAAAGGTTGAACGTGATGACCGATTTGGCCAAAAGTGTGACCCCCACTTCCTCCTGAACCCTTTACCATGAGTCACACCTGTTCCAAAGCATCGGTTTACGCGTATAGGAAACACACTTTCACTTAGACCGACACTATGTTACCTAGCTGACTTATGTCTACTTCAAAAAATGATCGTGATTCCGACACCGTTGCTTTACAATAAATTCGGTTAAAGAATGGTGTGACTAAAAATGTGGTGGCCAATCAAACGCAGAAATCAGTGGACAGTTGCCAATGCAGATTTTCTGCTACAGGAATTAAGCCATGAAGTGCCCATTTTATACAAGGCCATTTAGTGTAGCTTAAAGGAATATTTAGCCTGGGTGTGGACAGCAATATTTATAATTTATTAATTGACGAAAGTCGAACAAGTCAAAACGTTTCTTGTCAAAGTGGAAATGTAAGACATCTGATTGAATGAAGCATCTGCGACTAAAATGTGTGATTTGCATTAATGCAGTGTGATTTTAGATCCGATTTATCCTAACAGCTCTGATTCAAGTTGCTACCACCACTTGCAGACACTTGGATAGCTTGGTCAAATCCTGTCTAATCTATAGCTACCTTTGCAACATTTTGATCCTTTTAAATACGTTCCAAAATTAAGGGTAAATGTTTAAAAACGACAAGTCTGAATATGTCGAAACCAGTAAACATGACAGTAAATTATTTCACATGTTTAACTGCATGCGGGTAATGGATACTTTTAACAAAAGGTGACCAAAGCAATTGACATAACTGGTGGCCGTTGAGGAACGGCAGTTTGCATTGTGATGCTTTAAACTTTTCCTCAAAAGTAATGCTAAAACAATCTGAAGCATTGAGGTGGTGCACTTTGAAAACACCATCAAATGATTCGGCAACCTGGCTTGATCCCATTGAGGAAGAGCAAGTTTAAGTTACCACAAGTTACGTCTAAAACACTCGTGCCGGTTTGCGACCGCCTTCAAGTAGGTCCACAGTATATAAGTTGAAAGGCAAATGCTTTAGTATTCTGTTAACTGATTGGGATTCAATAAAACTATTGTAAGTTATCCGTAGCACGTCGCTTGATATATCAAAACAGCTAAGTATGTTTTCAATGAAATCAGTGACTCACTCCATACAAACGCTCGATCAGTACGATTGCATTCTCTTGAGTGGAAAGTCCGTCCGAAGGTTGAAAGTCGCTCTGTAAAAACCAATGCGAGTAATCAGAATTCATGCGGCATCGTACACTGGACACATACTTGGGTGGCTGACTCATGTGGAACCACGGGATCCACGGGTTGAAGTGACTCGAATCCATGATTGAGGAAGGTTTAAAATTTAATGAAAATGTTCAAATCGCAAAGGGAAATTCATGCAAATTTCACACGCAGATAGTGCTAAGCCCTAGAAACACTCACCGTGGACGCCTTTCGGTTTGCGAGTTCCTGAGCCAGCCCGAGGAGAGCCTCGACGTCCCGAAAGACCTCTACGGCTGCCTCGAGTTCGTGTCCGTTGGTCGTCTAAAATCCAATTTAAATGTCCACAGAAGTACGCCAGTTTTGAGCTTGTGTCAGGTTTTGTGGGGTGCTCTTGGTGTCGTTACAGGATTTTAGACAATTGAAATTGACAGTGTAACGGATCGAAACACCCAACCAACACCCGAACAGATCAAGTCAATGGGAGGCAGATGTCTTCGACGGTGCCAAAGCGCATCGGTGCAAGTAAACCACTAATTTTCTTTTTTGACTTTTAACCCTAAGTACTTGGAACCTCATTTTTAAACAAACTGGTCCTTATTGCGGGCAAAATCCCAATTCTAATAGGACTTTAACTATGTACGAATTGAATAGTTTATGTGGGATTAAGCGCTTTGCATTTTTGCTGAATTTGCCTGCAGTTCTAAGTAAAATCAAAGACTCCTAACGGAGGCAAGTTTTTCTGTCGGAGTGCTACCAAACAATCCTCCAGCAACCCACCAGAACCGAAATCTGGCGTCATCTCCTGACCCGAAACTAGGCTACTTGGTGCAAAGACGCACACACGATACAGGCTGCTAATGCGTCATCAATGCTAATGATTGCGTTCACTACGTGGACGAGATATCAGCAACTTGTTATTAAATCGAACCACTGCAGGATAGAAAAAAATGACATCTATTTAAAAAGCATATGACACTTAGGCAGGATTATAGCACCTACCTAGTTCTTCATAATTGGGCTACACACAATACATTTAATTCAACTGGAAACGTTTATGTTTATTACAACACCAAAGTTTACGGATTTTTGCACATTTCACGTTTTTAACACGGCTATAAATCAATTTAATTTTTAATAGAGGGTGCTCACCACATGAAAGCCATAAAGGTGGGGGAGCGTCCGCATATTATTATGGCACCAGGTACGCCACGACATGCACGAAGACACCAATAATGCACAGTAGATGACGTAACACCATACATCCCATGCAATGTAATCAATCGTAGCGTGCATCATTGCACAAAAACATGCAGTAGCTTAAACGTTATGAAAAAGCTAAGTAAAAGATATTGAAGCTTAAGTCTCGAACGTAATCTGAAACCAGCCATGACATAAAATCCTTGGGTTTTCAGGTATATTTCTGTACTTGTGTTACACTAAACAGCCATCGTGTTACAAATCCTGATGATTTGTAACACAATGAACGAACTGTTAAAAGCTGCCCCAGAAATTACCTGTATGTTCTTTATTTGTTTGATATTGTGAACAGACAGCTCTAGGCCATAAAAGGGAATGCTGCATTCACGAGTAAGTCGTATTATCCACCTAGACGCGCAGTTCCAGTCAAATTAAAAATATTGTCACGGTTTTGTGGTGAAGCCTGTGATTTTGATTGAGTCATAACTAAAATATTCGCGGAATTCAACAGTCATGTTTCTTGAAAGGAGGTCATGTATTTATGCAACTGACGCCTTCTAATGGTGCCTTTCAACTAATAACTGAAAACCTGATGCCGTACTTTGTGATTGTCAACAATCAGTGTTATGAATCCATTGGATTCGGCATGTGTTTGCTACACGACGATTTATTTACCATCAGGGAGGTCTGTTAGACAGTATGGCAGAATTTTTTTTGCATTTGTGTATTTCCACGGTGTTTAAGGCTGACATGGTGTTCATGTGCTTATCCAGGGATTAACAGTCTGAAAAAATCGCGCATTTCATCCTCAGTGATTGATACTCCCAAGAGACTTCTGCAAACTTCGATTTGAGCACTTGCATTTAGACCAGCATAATAATAACAAGACGTATAATGAGATTGGTCACATTCGAAATGCTTTCAGATTAATGTTTCTTTCCGAATAATTGCCGATTTCTATAACCAAAAATTCATGACAACATGGATACCTCATTTTCGCACTTAGCGCTTATCAAACCATAAGGTACTGAGTAAAAATGATCACAATCAATGCCTCGAATATCTGGATACACTTTTTAAAATAAATTCTGACTATCAGCCAGTGTTTAAGAAGGCTTTCCTACCTGTTTCAATTGACTGTTCACCCACCGTCTAAACACACGACTCTGTGTCTCCATGCGTTTATCATCTGAAAAAGTAAAGAAATACATGCACGACACGAAAATGTTTTAAAATTTTTTCCATCCTTCCGATTCTTTGCAAACAAAACCATTATGAATCACTGTCCAAACTTGAACATTGTGTTGACCCTTTTATGGTGCATCCCGCGAATTCTTACATGAGTCCAGCAGACTTCAAAGCCCCAACAGTCCTTTAAATCATGTATCTTATAAAAATAATTGATGATTATTACCATGATTCCTTGGTCCATAAGTTCACCTTCAACAAAGCAGGGTAAAATTGGCTATTTAACAACTTTCAAATGGATGGATGGATTCAACGGCATAAAATATCAGTGGCATTATATGTTAACCTCAAGTGGACATTAACGTAAATGTTTTATACTTAAACTACAGAAAAAAATGCCGTCAAGATATTTAAGTAACCAGAGTGAAAAAACACTATCCGGCAAATTAGCAGCCAACTTATATAATCTAGATTGTATATTTTGAACAATTAAGTAATTATGTTGTACCCAGTATTGCAAAAGACATGAGGAGACGTTGCTCATTTAGACAGTCTACAAAAAGCGAATTCAATTTTAGTTGGGTTGTGCCACATCAAATAGTTTCACCGCACAGGCAACTGACAGAGCAAATGTGTTAGGTTATAATCGACCATTGTTAATACACCGTGATCCCTTCCACCAAGGTGCAATACCGTGCCGTGGGCGAAACAAGGCTCGTTACGACGGAGTAAACGTATCTGACTTTGCTAGACTAAATGGTTCAAGTGCGTCAGCAAAACAACATTGGTTCAGTTTATTATGAGGGCGGATTCCAAGTAAGATGAAAGTTTCGTACAGTCATATGTGAAGAAGGTAGGAGAATTTATCCGCATGTAAAAAAAATCGTCACCTCTGACAGCACCTTAGATTACAAGTAGGTGTGTGAGAAATCTAGGTGAACGTGTTCGCATAGAAGAAGCATTCTTTTACAGGTAGACGTCAGATGGAAGACACGAGGAGAGTGTGCATTCTCGTGCCGACCCATCGTAGTGATCTACTTCTATCGAAGGCTCTTTGGGTGCCTTCATTTATCTTTACTTCGATGATGAGCAAAAATCTCACTACAGTTCTATTTCTGTTCCCTACATGGTATCGGACTTTAGGAAAATGAAAAGGCCTGGGTACTGCAAATTCCTCCCGCACATAGCACCAGCTCCTGCAATCATTCATGCGATCAGATTGAGTGCAGCATAACAATAAAAACACCAAGAAGGTCAATAGATGGTAGCAATTTCAAACTGCAAGTGCTTTGCATACGTTTGTCTGTGTGTTACGGAATAGGCTACCCCACTCTGACCCATGAACACTGCACTCTACTCTAGTATTTTTTTCGGATTTCTGGTAAAAGAGGACTAAAACTTCATTCTTTTGACCTCAAGTAACTTTAAACATCTTCAACAATGCACATTCAAGTTGCTTGCCACAACTTGGAAATTGACTTCAGAATTAGAAGACCTGTCAATGCCGCAAAGTCAGACAACCTACTTGCGCTAAAAAGGGAACCGTAGGATTAGGCACTTTAATGTTTTCCATGTCTATTTTTAAGTTAAACACTAGGAGCGCAATACGAGACGATGAGGTTCTCACGACTCAAATCAAACTTTTTCTTTAATATTCAGGAATTTCCCACTTGATCAACAAATCGCGAAAAGTTAGAAAACTATTCAAATTGATGAGAACTATTGGAATGTAACACGAACCATGAGAATAATTAGGGATTTGCAAAATGAAATTAATCTTCCGGGCACGCTGATTTGCATAACTTTGCAAATACAAGTTACGTATCTTAGAGCTATAATCCTATTTATGTTGAAATAATTTAATGAAAAAACTCAAGTGCACTCGGCGCCTCCAGTGTCATGTTCAATCCCGAAAAGATACTATATACCCAAATGACAATTTAAACAAGTTTTTTAATAGGACTGGTAGTCGACGGAAGTCATCTACTCTTTCACACCAGTGAGGTACAAATTATCCCTAGTTAACTGAATACATTTAATATTAGAAATGCTTTTAGAAAGCTGCGTCTGAGAAACCACGCATGAACAATGGTGGTATATATTTTCAATTATAGAGTAGAATGGTTTAAAACGGTCTGCAAATTTAACACCATGTCGACCGAAAATCCGAATAACTTTTAAAGGCAATTGCTAGTAAAGTGGATAATTTCAATCTAGGTACGACTTCTGCTTAAGTTAGTAACATAAATCAAGATCAGATTAGTTGATTAATTTGAAGTTGCGCACAAAATCATGGTTGTTTCCGAAATAACAGCTGTCCATTCGGAATTACTATTCTGACTTCTGTCTTGAAAATAGACGTTATTCTTATTAGGTGGCTCATCACATCCATGAATGAAGGGTCCTGCACACATTGACATCTGGAACTCACGGAAATTAGTGGCTGAAAGGCTCAATAAACGTGGGTCGCATGAAGGCCATGTAAAATCAGCAGACGAAAATGTGAGGACATCACTCTGTTGTTTTAACACCCAAACTTAACTCGACATTGTTACCTACACTTCGACATGTGTTCCTACAAATCTTCTTATTCACACCACAAGACTCGAAATCTTAACCTTGCAGAGTTTTTGGAAATGCTACCACCTTTTAGGAAGCGAGTCCAAGCACATACGATACTATTCATCGCATTTTCATTAAATTGTTTTTTAGCATTGCATTCTGTCAAAATGCTCGAGATGTGTAACTACTAGTCTCTCCTTTTACACACACGGAGATCACGATAAGTTCTAAACCTTCGTTTAGATGTTTACAAAATTTTACTATTGTTAATCGTCAGAAAGTAGTATTCGGTTCTTGAAATCAAATAAACTATGACAATATTCCAAGGAATTTTGGTTGTCACATTGATTTAGTCTTAGACACTCCACGTTGTGATTGATTTTCAGTTAATCTTAGCAAAATTAGTGTATCAAATTCAACCCACGGTAGACATTCGACTAAGTATAGAGAAAATCAATACATTTTTAATAAAAGGAACCAAGGCCTGTCGCGATTCGGTCCGTAATATTTTGTCTTTGAGATGAATCACATAGCTTTTTTAAGCTTAGCATATTGAGGCCAACACCACAAACTGCTCAGTTGACAGAACAGTTTCGCTAAAAGTTCCGTCACGTTAAATTAGTTCGTTAGGTCTGTATGTGCGGCAGCACACAAGCGGCTACGTGCATGCACGCCCGTTCACACGGTATTCGCTAAGGCACATTGGTCGATATGACAAGCTGATTGGTCGCCATTTCCGCTTACATCATAATCAGGTAACGCGCACAAACTAAGCAACCTTCGACCAATAGGCTTCTGAACCAGTTATCCTGAACGGAAAAAGAGGGTATTTACCTTACTAGGAGTACCCAA